TAATGCAGAAATTATACATTTGTATTTTTATAAAATATCATCTGCATAAAAAATGGCTTCATGGTCTATGGTGGCTGTTTGAATAAATTTTTGATATTTTCATTTTGTCTGATTAAATCCTCTACTGGCTCTATGAAAAATGTAAAGAGCGAAGCAAAGAGAAGACATCCTTATCTAGTAACATTGTGGAGCGTGAGGATAAGATTAAAATGTGAGATTTATTGATAAGTAAAAGTTGTTTACCTTTAATAACATCAGTCTGGTCAGGATGAATTAGAATTGGTATGATTTTGTCTTGTCTAGATGCCTGAGCCTCATTTATAATTTTAATGTCTGTATTGATTTGAGAAAGCAGCTGACAGTCAGAGAGGCTGGCGTAATCTTTATTTGGTTTGGAAAGCAGGGTGATCATTGCTGTGTTCAAACTTGGTGAGACTGGTTTTAAAATCTGAGGTCATTCTTATGAGTAGTGGAGATGGAAATGAGCAGAAATGTTCGTAGAACTTCGCAGTGAAGCCATCAGGTAAAAATACTTTCATGTGTTTTTCTTTCTTTATTCATGTTTTCTCAGTTTGCATACAGTTTTTATTATTGCATTAAAACTTATGTTGTATTAGCAACTCAGTGACTTATTGAATGCTGTAAATTAGTGACTTTATCCATCTTAAGGTTTTGATTGGTTTAGTGGCTCCTTTTTAGAGATTTCTCTCAAAGAGAGAGAGGACCATATTACTGACTGGAATGTCTTAGAGTCACTTTGTGTATCCTGATCCCACTTAATCCAGCTCCACCTGTCTATTTTGCTTAGCCTAATTTTTTCTGGTATGATTATTAGTATTTTGTTGCCAGAACATCCCAGTAAAACAAAAGAATCTGAAACCTTGCGATATTTTAAGATGGGTAAGTGAGCTCTATTGAGCACATGTTACACTGGTGGCCTCACACACCTCTCAACAGATGCTTAATTAAACTATGCTCTAATATTTGTTCCAAACTCTACCAAAACATTAAAAACAAACAGATTTTGTTGCTGACTAGTAAATTGCTTTTGACCACAGCAGTGATATAATTTCTTAGAGCTACTGTCATTGCAGAACTTGTGATTTTTAATTCGGATCTAATTGGCTGATAATTAAGTTGTTGTAATGTAGGAATTTGCTCTCTAAAGATGATCAGCAAACCCCAGTGGGACTGAGACGTTAATATCTCAGAATACTCAACATTATGATCAATGCAACACCTACAGGGCATGAAACTGTGGCATGCTATATATAATAGCTGTCTAACTCTGATGCAATGAATCTTCATCTGGAAAGGAACTGGCAATAAGGTTATTAGTCAGCTGGTGCATAGCAGCACAGAGCAGTGTTGGGAAGCACAGCACAAAGAAGAATGAGTCACAAAGAGTCAGAGCTCTGTTATGCTTTTAACCTTCACTGGTAACGACTTCATCAGTTTCTTCACAAATAGAATTTTAACTGTTAGAAAAAACAATACTCATAACGGTCTCACAGAAATTACATTATGTACAGCTATTTTCAGTATCATTGATACTGGGAGGTCTCCTTCCAAATCTGGAGCTGCTGGTCAATCTGAGGTGCAACCTAGCAGTGTTGGGGTGGACCAAAAGATAATATCCCAGAAGGGTTTAGGTCAGAAGAGCATGGTGGCCTGTCAATGGTATTAATTCCTTATCCTCCAGGAACTGCCTGCATAGAGGCATTTGAGGTATTGTCATGCACCAGGAGGAATCTAGAACTGACTCCACTGGTGGAGCTCTGAGATTGCCCATCCTGTTCTTCCTTGCACAGAGAATCTCCTCCATGCTCTTGAGATTGTGCTCGGAGACATGGAGGGGCTGAACTTCCTGTGCAACCTTTGTAGAGTCCATGTATTGCCTGTGTCAGCATTGCCAAAAAAAAAAGAAGGAAAAAATAGAATAGAATAGAATAGAATAGAATAGCCATGTTATTGCACACGTACAGCAAAATTGTGGATTCACCTCACAAGCTGTGGATGGAATACAAATATAAATAGCTGAACAGCAAGAATACATTTCAGAGAACAGTAGTATGTACAACAAGCGGATTATGTACAATCAAGTGGAATACATACATCAGGAAGACGTCTATCCCAGGAGCCTATCCCAGCTAGTATGGCAAGAGGCAGGTCGCCGATCTGTAGCAGGGCCAACACAGACAGCCCACATTCACACCTATGAACCTGTGGGCTCTTTCTAAAAAAAATATTAATGTAGGGCAGATGAACATCCATTGATATCAGGTAACTATAAAAGATATATTTCAATTCATTTATTTATTTATTTCACACTTGGTACAACAGATCAAACAAACCAACCACACTTTCTATCAATAAATCACTACAACCATGTGTGAAAAGGAGCAGGAAGAAGAAAATATTCTTATTAAACCCCGCCCCCTATCTACAATCCAATTTATATTACAAGTGGGAACCAAAAATCAGGGAACAAACTAATATTAACATTTATCTCCGGTCCTAACCCAAACCAAACAACAAATTTACAATCAGGATATACCACTCCACATAGTAACAAGGAGAAAAATAAAATTAAAATAAATAAAACAAAAAATTATAATGGATCCTTTTACAATGAACTCCAATTTCATTCACATTCTTCATATTGAGTTATTGTTTTAAGCATGTAACACTTTTTAAAACAATGTAAATTTATACAATTCTTTAAATTATAACGAAGTGAGTTCCACAGTCATATACCCCTAACCGTTGTACTCATTAATCTTTGTGTAGTCCTAGCTAACTGATGCTTAAAATAAAATTTCCTTCTGCTGTCTTCTCCCCCTGAACACAATAAAAATACTCTTTGTAACTTAAAGGGCAAAATATTATTTTTAGCCTTAAACATAATTAATAGTGTGCGTAGTTTCACTAAATCTCCTAATTTTAATAATTTTGATTTTATAAATAATTTATTTGTATGTTCTCTATATTTAACAATTATGAATCATTCGTATCACTTTCTTCTGTAATAATGGCAGAGTAACTTTGTAATTAAGATGAATTTAGTAGACACAATTACAACATCGGGCAATGAATGAGTGTAGGTAGATTTCTTCTACATATTCGTATGCATCAGACAAGTCAATATGGAACTCTGCAAATGCTGCTGATTAATGCAATGGTTCAAATAAGTAAAAAGAAAACTGGGGCACCATCGGGAAAGGGGCCGGTGCTCAAGCCCCTTCCACCCCCACCCTCTGCACGTGTCTGGACAAATGTATGACAGTATGACAGACACACACATCATCGAAAACTAAACACATTTTCTATATAAATTCAGTTAATTTTGGTTAGTTTTGTTAAAGATCATTCTAGTTTTAGTTAGTTTTCCTTTTTTTTTTTTTTACAAAGTCTCGTTTTTTATTTTTATTTCTACATCCATCATCCATCCAACAAAAATGTTTTTTTACTTTTAGTGTTCGTTATTTGGTTAGTTTTTGTTAACGATAACAACCTTGCATTGGACTAGGTCTAAGTAGAGTCCTTCTGTGAGTGGCCTGATCCAGGAGCAGGTGGAAGGGGGGATTTGAAGGAGGCCCAGTTTGGTGATGAGGATGTTTGGGATTGTGTTGCTGAACGCTAAGCTGTAGTCCACGGAGAGCATCCTCATGTAGATCTTCCTGTTCTCAAGATGGCTCAGTGCTCTGTGAAGGGTGATAGTAATGGCATCCTCTGTGGACTGATTTGCTTCTTCAGCAAACTGGTGGGGGTTGAACGAGGAGGGAGGCAGGCAGTCTCTGGTGTGCTGAGAAACACTTCATGGCTACAGACATGAGAGCTATAGGTCTGTAGTCACTGAGGCTGTCTATTCCAGTGTTTGGGGGATGGGAATGATGGTGCAGGCCCTCAGACAAGCAGGAACAGTGGCACGATTCAGGGAGAGGTTGGACAGCCTGATGATGAAAACCCATGTCAGTGATCTCCTCCTGTAAAACAGGTGTAATCAGGAGGAATACGATTAGAAATGAGTATATCAGAGGTAAAGTTCAAACTGAGCAGTTTGGAGACAAAGAGAGGCAAAGATGGAATATCTTGGAATGAGAACAAAAAGTTCCAAGAGGGAAAATTGTAGACTTACACAAGATGAGGAGGTCCTCTGGACCTATTTCCAAACAGCTGCAGATTGCAAACTTAAAAAATCTTTTTGTTGATGTTGAATAACTGTTGAATGGCAGTCTATAAATCACATCAATAACTTAAGCCAGCCTAGATCTCAGCTTGAAGTACTTTTTGAACTTTCTAGCAAGAAAGAAAATTAGATATGACAGGAGTGACTCAAATGGACAAACTCTTGCTCTGGGGCCCAGCTCTCGTTCACTCACCCAGAGCATCACAGGGCAGTGGTGGTTGTAACACTATGAGAAAGAAAATGTCTGCTTTCTATCTTACCCGCTATTCCCAAAATATTAACAATAGAACCACCAGTAGTCCATGATAAAGTGACTGGATTGCTCATCCGCCAGCTTTTGCCACATTAGCACTCAAGGGCATGTCGTCTACTGCCTACCGAGCAACGCTATTAAAGGACACACCTTTGGCTAAGCAATTTGTATGTGCATGAGTTCTGCTGTGACACAACTATGATGACTCATCAGCCTGACGACCTTGCAGACAGCCATCTGCAGCTGATGGAGCAGAGGTCAACTGACAATCAGGACTCACTATGCCGTCTGTCATGTGTTGTAGAAGTCACATGACTGTGGGTATATGCGGAAAATACATGGATTAGCACCCTCAGCACCACTTACTGAACAGATAGCTGAGTACTTTCTAATCACTTTACAAGGCTTTGAGTGCTCAGGTAGAGTAGAAAAGCCCTATATAAGAACTATATAAGTCCATTTACCATTTTAATGAGCTAGTTTGTTTTTAAACTATGTCTTAAAGCCTTTTTGGCATAGATTAACACTGTGTCTTTGTCCTTGTCTGTGTCTCTATAGCACTGCGGCCAGTGGACAGTAAGCTTTGTCTGGGTATTCCTCCAAACACCACCCAACTCTGCCACATAAGCTGTCCTGTTGATTGTGAGGTATCTTCGTGGCGCACGTGGGGACCCTGCACGTATGAAAATTGTCAAGACCAGGTAGCCAAGAAAGGTAAGAGATACTGTTAGGGTTACAATAGTATATTGTGTCATAAAGTGACCAATCAAAGGAGTTCTGTAGGGTTTACTTTCCTGAAATCTCCCTTTAAAAATCGCATACCCCTTCATCTGCCCTACGGTTGTTATTGTGCCCCAATAAAACAAATAAGCCAACAAAATTTGCAGTGCATTGACTTTTACCCAGATTTACAATGTACAAAACATTCTACCTTCATATTCTGTAGTATTTTACTGCGTTTTTGATTGTGTATTGCAAATGTTAAACTTGATGTTGACAATAAAGTCAAAATCAATTACAGAAGCCATACAGTTGGAATGGGTCTCTGACTGCTGTCGTGGGGATGTTAGTCCATCGGTAGAGTTGACACAGTCACTGCTTCATCTCTAGTTATCCCTGGAACAGCAGTGTCCACCATGACTCTGCCTTAATGAAGAACATCAAATTAAAAGGATGACTAGAAATTGTTGAAATGGATCCTTCTGGCTTTATTTACTTTTATCGTGTGTCACTGTCAGTCCATTCCCTCCCTTGAGATACTTTGTCAGACCTTTTTTGCAGCTGTCGTCCTGAGTATAACCTGTGCACTTCAGAAATTATCTGGCAACTTCAATTTGCAGTCACGTCATCAATAAACACTAGTGAGTTGGTTTCACATGTCCATGCCATGTGGTAATTTTTGAATCATGAGGCGTTCCTTTCCTTATCTTTGCTTTTCTCTTCCTTCTTCTTGTGATTCAATTTAATCTTGTTTTCATATGTTTTTATTTTTGTTTGGTTTGTTTGTTTTCAGAACTATTTTTTTCAGAACTGTTTTCTCTTAACATCTAATCTTGTCTTCCTGTTGTTGGGTTTTACCAGGGGTGCGAAATTTTACTGTAAAGCCAATGATTTTCCTTCATGAAGGCATTTCATTCAGAAAGGTGTGTCTTGATTGTAGATTTGAAAAATGACCTCATTAAGAGTGTTCTTAACCAAGGAAAGTATTTTGTGATCAGCCACTTTATTCTTCTCCTGTGTCCTTCCAATGTCACTGAGCTGGATAAAGAATACATCAAATTGCTGACTTGGCCACTCCTAAAGTATTTTCTATCTCTCTCATAGGTTTATTTCAATTTTTCATGAATGACTTGCATCAAGATCTCTTTGGACCTCATGTTGACATTTCCAGTGAACAGCCACTAAATAGTTCAACACTTGAATTGAACTTCAGGTCATTTGTGACTGACTAAATGACTGAATAAAGAAACTGCTTTTCAGTCAGTTTTGAATGTTGGACGTCTGAAAATATGGGACTATGTATAAAAGTGCATCTAAGGAATTTTGTTAAACCTTTTAAAACTGAAAGTCTTCACTGCACACACATCTTTTCCCAGTAAAATCTACCGGGGTACAGTACAGTGTCAAAACAGTAAAAAAAAGTGTCAGATTTATATCAAAGTAAGTGTTCAACAGCAAACTGAGCACTTGTTTTCTATGTCACATACATTTCACTTTCTGAATTCCACAAGAGGGAGGTTGCCATCATGTTTTACTATATAGACAGCCTATGACATCCTTGACCAAGTCCCAAGCTATGTGTCCTCAATTTATGCAGTCAGCAGTGTTCAAGAATAAGACATGTGACCTGGATAAAACTGCAGTGCTATCATCTTAATTAATGTTAATTAGCCACAGCTGACTGAATTTAGTAGATGACAGTTGCCTTTTCAAAATGTGAAATGGTTTTAGGACACAATGAATAATGCAAAATTAAAAACAAACAGAGCCAAAATCTTCATGTCAAAACAAAGATTCATAACTTATCACATAGCCTTCACTCCTGCCTTTCAGTTATTGCATCCATGATACACTCTGCAGATAGCAAGTCAGTGATGACTGAGAGTATAGCATTCAGTCCTCATCTTCGTTTATACAACCCTAATCCCCACCTCAACTCTTGCCGATCAAACAATTTCCCAAATTAATTTTTGTCTTCAGGTATTAGTCATGTGCAACATATAACAGACAATCAACGCAGGACTACATAAAGTGCAAGTGTGCAAAAATTGCAAAAGAAACAGAACAATACAGGCACAAGACAGCGCAGACACAAACATGCAATAGAAAAGCGCAACAATGACAGTAGGTTGTGCAGAAAGTAACTTGATATATGAAGGTGTGTGTGTGTGTGTTAGTCCAGTGTGTTCAGGAGTCTGGCGGCTTGGCCGAAGAAACTGTTTCGCGGTCTGGCAGTGAGCGCCTGGTACCTGCCAGAAGGCAGCAGATTGAAGCTTGTGTGTGAGGGGTTTTCCACAATGCTGGTGGCTTTGTGGAAGTAGCGGGTGTGATGGATATATGCATTGCATTATTCATCATGCAAAGTTCTTTGAATCTTTGTTAATTTAACTCCTAATCCATCCAATTTTATTTATAAAGCACTTTAAAATACCCAGCACAGGACAAAAGTGCCGTACAGAAAATAGGTCAAAAACAATAGAATAACAGAAAACAGCAAATATAAATAAATAAAACACACAATACATAAAAATTAAAACAGCCCTATATTAAAAAAACAAGATAAAACCGCATAGAATCAACTAAAAACAACGAAAATAAAACTAAAAATCTCTAAAGGGAGACCGTTCCACAGTTTTGGAGCTGCTCCAGCAAAAGCATGATCTCAGTCACTTGTGCTACATGTAACAATGGACTGTTAAAAGCAACATTTCAATAAAAAACATCTGGTGAAAAAATATGCTACAGTTGTACACAAGCTTACACACAGGGGTAGCCATAGTTTATTAGTTTGAGATCATGTAGCTCATTAGATTTCTGTTGTTCCCCCAAAGGCTTTAAATTGAGGAAGAGGAGAATCATCAATGAACCAACAGGTGGGACAGGAAACTGCCCCCACCTGGTGGAGGCCATACCATGTGAAGACCCGAGCTGCTACGACTGGCTGGTGGTTAAACTGGAGGACTGTATCCCAGATAATGAGGAGAAGTGTGGACCAGGAACCCAGATCCCTCAGGTCCAGTGTGTCAATAGTGACGGTGAGTATATGTGAACATATTTATCCTAGTCCGAGCTTTAGGAGTAGCTGGTCTCTGAAGTGCTTGGAGATTGCCTTTAAGTTTTGGTTCCAAGCAAAAGCTACTGTGGTGTTTTGACACTTTCCATAAATTATCTATCACTCTGCTAGCAAAACATCCCCAGGGTACTATCTTCATACTGTAGAAAACTCAAAACACTGATGATTTTCTGTAGTCAGGTCTCTCTGAGTAGACAGAAGATAATGTTTACAGAAGGTGTAATTCACACAGAGTCACGTGACAATTATGCTTAAAATTGTCTACTTTAAAAATACTTTATGTAATTTTGGCACACTATGTGCCATCACCACAGAAACAGTGCCAGTGGAAGGTCAGGGGCATTTCTCCACTGTCACTGAGTTTAAAGCTGCTGTGAAAGCTTGCCTAAGGGTGGGTGATAATGTGTTATGTACATCATACTTTAGGAGGCTGTGTGGCACCTGTGCTGGGATGTTTCTTACACCTTTTAGGATGATTATTGATTTCTAAGTAGTCCATCGTTGATTTTATCGTAGTCTGCCGTCCCATTCACATCTCTGTGTGTTTTTCACAATCAAAAGATAGCATCATTTTAGAAATGCATATGTTTAAAGTAAAAGTCTCAGTGGTTTAGAATTGTTTGGCAATGAGACACTCTACATCGATGATGTAAATGAATCATTTTTTTAGGTTGTAGTCAGTGTGATGTAGGTCAGTCTTTTCACTTTGACTGATGCAGAGATTCTTGTCATCTATCCTGGTTAATCTCAATATGCTCCTTGCCCAACACTGTATTTACTGTATTTAACATAGATTTCCCTATTGTTTGTGCTGTTATGACCAATTTCATCATGTTCTAGTGTGAGTGTATAGCTACTTTGCCTCAGGGATTTTCCTCTCACTTACACAGACATAAGGATTCAACGATTCAAGGAGCTTTCTTGTCATTTGCGTCACATGTTTACATGAGGTGAACAAAATTATGTACACACGGTCCCGGAGCGAAAAGAAAAAAGAAAGAG